ATGTATAATTATTTTATCTAAATTTTATACAAATTTATTTTTGCTAAGATCTTTAAAAATATATATATGATTATTTTAGAGAATATATATAATTATTTTAAAGTATTGGATGCGTTTAACGAAAGTTGAGTGAACGCTTATTGTTATTAATGTATATTTCCAAATCATCCACTTAGACTTTTGGATTTAAAAGAATACATAAGATCTGTTTTTTATTCCTGTATTCTCTAAACTGTGCACACAGTGCAATACGTTAAAAGGAAACAAACATATTTGCTTCACTTCAACTTAGGCCCACTTTCATAACTTACGGTTAACTCTTAACTGAGGTTCAACTTATTTATTGTCTCTTTTTAGAATTGGAAAGAGATGAGAAACAAGTTGAACCTCCCCCCAATTAAGAGTGGATTGCGAAACTGGACTTTATTGTACCGTGTGAATCAGTTCAGAGATTGCAGGAATAAAGAAAGAGAACCTATTATTTGTCAGTAAGCATTCATTCAATTATTGAGTCCGCTAAACATGACACGGTTATTCTTTGATTTAAAAGGTAATTCTGAAAATTGGATTAATTTGATCGACTGATTAATTAATTCAACTGACAAAATTGATTAAAGCGAAATTTTTAATTGTGCAATTGGTTTTTAATCTAATCTCTCTTTCTCTCTCTCTCTCTCTCTCTCTCTCTCTCTCTCTCTCTCTCTCTCTCTTACATCTCAGATAACATAAGTAGTCCATATCAATTTATTAATTAATATTAATATTAATACTAAATAATATTAATAAAATACTGTGTAAGTATCACCTGAAGTTAATCGAAATTTATTTTGAACGAAAAGAAAATATTCATAAATTAATTACAAAGTACATTTATTATTTTTTAAAATATATAATTTTTATTGTTAAATCAACACAAATATAGATAAAATTTGCCAAAAGGTGAAGAATAATCTTAATGTGATAATTAAATGTACGTTAAACATTTGTAATTTATCAATTTTTTAATGTCGAGGGAATTGTTTAAATGAAAACACCAGCTCTTACTTCTTAGATTTTAATTATAAGATTTTTATGTTTTACCACGAAATAAAAAGAAAGAGATCAAATTCGAGGATAAAAATGGAGTTGAAACACGATGTCGAACAATCCATGGAAAATCGAAAGGATGCGATTTGCCGTTGCGGGAAAAGTTGAATGTATATACCACATAATAACGTGTACGGAATACACATGTATGCGTTTTATTTTTAATACAGAAATTTCAATTTGTATAAAATTTAATTTTATTTGATTAAATAGTAAATGTATCAATATTTATTGAAAAATACATACATTTAAATTATGCATAATCATAAATTATCATTAAATTATTGTTTCTTAACATATCGACATCAAAAAATTTTGAAATTAAAAAGAATAAAAACGGGATTTGAACTTTTCTTCTCAGAATATATTCTACACATGAAAATATACAAATTTATAGAATTACAGGAAAATCGGAAGAAAAATATTTATCAAATCCTTTAAGTTGAGTTTTCTTCGATAGAGGTGCTCGAATTTGTTCTTCTATACTACAGTGCTTTTCCGACACTGTTTCGAGCCCATTTTTTTCAGGATCGGTCACTTGAGTTTAGACTCCTTTTTACTCCATGTGTCTTACAATTAATTTCTAAATTAATTCTAAATATAGAAAAATATTCGTAGAAAGTAATAATCTGTACGAGTATATTATATAATTTCGTAATTTTTATTATCCAGAAAATGTTAAATTTATTTTATAAATTTATTTAATTTAAAAATGCATATATTAATCGTGATATTTGCCCATAAAAATAAAAGAATCTTATTAAATAAATTCGTGTTAAAAAAAAAATTAGAAAGAAATGTCGATTTTGTATTTTTTTCAGAAAGAGATTAGTATGTTCTTTTTCTGTAATTTGTGAATCAAGTTTCATCAGATACTCGTTTGCTATGCAATAAATGATCGAGAATTCATTGATCTAGACACGTGTGCACTTGTCACGCCTGGTATTGCGGTCATATTGACACTTTTCGTATGCGGCGCACCTCACTCCATTGCAATAAACGGCCTGATCTGTAAAAACACGTAAAATGTCCTGATAATTCAAGACACTTGAGAGAAATAAGATTCCAAGATTCATTTCTTCTTTTTAAACACATTAGTATATAAATATACTTTAATCCTTTGCGATTGAATTTCTTTCTTACAAATGAGCGAAGATCAGATATTTTGTCTTCAATTTTACCTGATCGATGAATCTAACATAATTTATGAGGAATTTTTATTGTCTGGAGAAATTTATAGAGATTTTAAAAATGGCAAAAATATGATATTTGCTGATTTCAATTGCGACAAATTATACCGCGAAGTATGTCGAGTTCAGCTCGATGCGAAGGACCGCAAAGGATTAATTTTGTCTACGTATAAAAACACAGAACATATGCGTTCTCATATATACATACTACTTGAGCCTTTGTATCCGCCATCGCTGCCGGTATTGACTGGGCTTATGTCGGCACATGACGTATGGCCGCATTTGTTTGGACAGCATTTCTGATTAGACGGACATTGTGCATCTCCTATACACCTGGGAGCGCAATTGGTCACGGTATTCCTCATCGGACAGTTGCCACTTTTATCTACAAAATGATTGATGATTATAACAAACAGGAGAGCTACTCCGCAATTTTCTTCGGATTAATTTGTAGGGCATTTGTTTTATTTAGTCTTTACAATTCTCGCGATGATTTGTTATACTATTAGCAATTAGCATCTGAAATTATTAGTAGTGTAAATAGTAATCATTTATTACATCGTCACGTTACATTATTTTTTTAACATATTATTAAGAAATAATTGTCTTGTCTTTCTTTACATTGAATGTTTTAACGGTTTGATTAACGATATTTTGTTTGACGATTAAATGACAGTATCGCTCTGCAAGTTATCCGTGAGTGATTGTAGAGTCACAATTGACACGTTTATTTCGCTGACGTGCACACTCGCGAGGATACTATATAATTGAATATTACGTAGTTTAGATATTAATGTGTCGCATTCGTCATTCTCTTTTCCTATATGCAGATATACGTCTTACAAAACTAAATCTAAATCTAAACTATGAAATTTTGTACGTATATCATCTAGAATTGAAAAAGATAATCTTTTTTATAAAAAGTTTGGAATTGATTATTACTGGCAAAAAATTTAAGATGCTAATAATTTTCACATTATAAGCTGTTAAAAATAAAAAAAAGAGATAAATGTTAAGAGATAAATGATTATATTCAATTTATGAGAGAAGAGATGGATTCTACTTTAGAATTTTTACTTTTTGACTAGACATAAGTATCTAAAAAATGATGCATTTATTTCACTTTTGATATAATTCTGCAATTAAGTCAGAACAAGAGAAAGAGAATGAAAGAAAGAGCATGAACTGAAAATAGAACAGGTATTCTCATTACGTGAAAGCTACATTAAAGTACAATTGCGTACGTTTCCTTTTAGTTTTCTGTGCGTAAATGATAGTGACTAATGAGTTACTTACAAAACATTTGAGAGGATGTGTCGGTGATTAGCAGAACTAGCAATACCGCAAATAGTAATAAGCTTCCTGGAAAGTAAATGTTATACAAACTCTATGTTCATTTCAGAGAATTGTACGATTATAACTCAATTTATGTGAGCGATTTTAAAAGAGGTACCATATAGGTATGTGTCATTCACAGAAATTAATCTCAGTATCACATAACTGTTTAATATTAATTATTTCGATGACGCGGCGTTGAATTAATTATTAAAATGTATTAATATACATTTGTTCAAGAGTTTAATTATACATTTACATAATTATTTAATAGAATTAATCTGGTGCTTTTGCTCAACGAATTGCTAAATATTAAATACTACTATGATTTTGACTTATGTTAATGATATTACATGGAAGTGTGTATTACATTCTTGAGAAATGCGTAGCATCTGTCTTTCAAGGTTGCACAGTTTAAATACTCACGATTCATTTTATGAGTCGTTGGTTTCTTGGATACTTAATTAAAACTCCGCGGTGAAGTTCCGACGAGACTTCTAGACATATAATGATAAAAACATCAGCTTTTATAACGCTTTCCACCTCTCGGATATTGATCGAGTATGTGACGAAAGAAGAGAAGATACATGACGAATAAATCATAATTCGTGCCTTAGTCACTGTAACATGGATTCATGAAAGTCTTCACGATACCGTTTATTTGAATTTGAGCACTATTTCTCTCTTTTTTCACATGTTATATCATGCACCGCTAAGCCTTAATCACATAATTAGCATTATAGTTTCATCTATTAACGTTGTAATAACAACAAAACATGTGTTCTTTTTAAAATCGAGTAGAAACATTGATTACTATTGAAGGTTGCGCCGAAAGTTCATAACTTATAATTACATTATCTTGATTTATTTTAATTTAGCTAGAAATACTTACTTAATTTATATATTTAGTTATAATTTGTTTCTATTTTTAAAGAATAATTTGAATTTAGAAAAAATTCTGATATTTTTTTTAGATAAAATACATGATATCTTTATAATCACGAATTATTTTTAGTTACTGATTGAAAATATAATTATAGAATCGTCTTCATAAATCTTATTTTCTCATTATTTAGAATTTCCGCGCTTCATATAAATAGCTGTTTAATGTATTCTAATTTAATATTTATAATTGTTCAATCTTTGTTTATTGCCTCGAATTTCGAATCGATTAGTCAAATAAAGCAAGGTTATGTGGTAATTACATAGAGTTGGTGTAGATTCGCTTTGTTTATCAAATTAGCTATTAAAATATTTACTTAAAATATAATATATTAAAAATAAAGGTTAATGTAATTAATATAATATATAATATAATAATATTGATATCAGTATATAAATATATGTTGATATAAATGCATTATATCGATATATTTATATACTGAGGTGCTATTTTACGAATCTGAATCATAATAATAGATCTGTTTCTCGTAGTAAGTGCGTTTTTCTTGATATTATTTCTTGCATAACCTTGGCCTTTCCTTATATCAGTCTATTTATTAATATTATCGATTAATAGATTTATTAAATGACTCTGGGATGTAACTAGATTCCTTTTAGTAATTTCTACTTACATAAATTTTAATATTT